AATCTTTATATTATTTTCTTTTTATTTTCTGTTATCAACTTGAAAATAAAAAATTCTAACAACATTTTTAAGCATTTAATTTTAGCAAATTATTAATAACGATTAACAATTTTTAAACTATTTATTGGGATCAATAGATTTGTTTTCTGAAATAAAATATTTCAAAAAATGAACAAATTTTTAATCGTTATTAATAAATTTCTAAACTTTCTGTATAAATATTATAATTTTTTAGAAAAATTCTTAGATTTTATATAAATTAGAATAGTTTTACGAGAAAATTATGTTAAAAAAATACTCATCTCTTTTTTAAAATTCTTTATATGTATACAGTCTAAAATATTCTATAATTTCCGAAGAAAACTTATAAAATATAAAATAGTTTAAAACAAAATTATTAAAAAAAATTTTCATAAATTAAAAATATGAAAAATTCTTAAAAATGCTGTTAGAATTTTTTTATTGAAATGTTAATTATTATTTTTAACTCATCACGTATATATGCAGAATTGCGATTTATATTTAATGATATCAACAAAAAAATAATAATTTAATTATCAAATTTTTTGTATCGTAATTCCGACATTTATTGTTTTGCAGGAATACGATCATCCTCATATATTATTGAAAAACAGTTATAATCAGTTTACTTCATTAGTAAAGGAGACTGGCCCAGGTATGTACGATCAACTGATCAAGGTGGCGAAGCAGGCCTATGTAGACAAGTATGGAGAAACGTGACGAAGTGTAGATGAATTCTGATATGTTCTTTTGTTAAAGCTAAATTTTTCAAGATGGAAGCGGATTACTTAATGTGTCTAGTATACTTATGATGTAGACGATATATAGAGCATACAGAAGGGCGCATGTAGACAAATGTTTGTACATTTCTGTAAGACCAAAGGATATATTGTATATCTTTCTTCGCGACATCATGATATTTTCATTAAGTATCATAACGTTGTGATGCAGCGTGACATGCTTCTACAAAATTATATTTTTGTATCGTTTTTAATAAGATTACAGGGAAAGCATTCCCTTGCCGTAATATCTAGTGCAAGATTCTGCCACGAGTTAAGTCTCGTAACATTGTTATATATTTCTATCCTACTATTACAGAAATTACGAATATACTTAATTCTTGTGATAAAGCGAATACGTACTTCCACAATCAAGAATGAACTGAACCAGTGAGATGAAACGTAATTTAGCATAAACATGAAATTGTAAGATAATATTCACGCACACACAGTAACTTGCTGTGATTTTTATTGATTAAATTTTATAAATTAAAATTATATATGAATCTGAGAGAAGTGTAGTATATATATATATATATATATATAATGTCAATTTATATATTTTTATTTATATAAAATTATATATAAAAAAAAATTAATTATATATAATTATAAATATTATATATATAAACTTCTTCAGTTTATCTTAGATATTTTATATGTATATTTTTAAATGCGTAATGATCTGATTTCAAAATTACATCGTTTTCAATTATCCCTAACTTTTTTTAATGAAGATCTCATAATGGTTCTGAGATTTATATTATGATGGACAATGTTCGAACAAATACTCCAATTCAGCTCAAATACTTAAATGATTATTTGAGTTTTACTTATACTTGATTCTTGTATAATGCAGATTCGGCATAAATGCAGAAACGAATTCAATACTTTTGTCTACTGCATTTATCGACATGTTGTCTACTGCAACTATGTATTATTTGTTAGGATGAAAGTATATAGAATATATATCGCTCACCATTTGCTTCATCATCGACACAACTTAAAAAATATCATTTTGAAGTTGCTTACAGAAAAAAAAACGGAAATATAAAAAAAAGGAATTTATTAAAAAAAAATACTTTTACTTTACAATAAAATTATCAAAATTGCATTTCAATGCAATTGCAAAAATTCAATGATTTAAAATATTGAAACTCTTACATTTTTCTAGTTGTGTCCCTATTGTAGCAAATAAGAAATATATCTCATAGTAGGTATTAAGTATATATAGTAAGTGATGTATAGTATATACTGTCACATAATAGAATATATTATGTAAGTAATATAGCACGTGTCTTGCTAATAATTAATTTTATTAGTATTTTTATCATTATATGATATAATATTAAAGTATACTATATATTAATTATCTAATAGAATAATGTTAGAACAGCATACATATATACCTCAATATATTATATGAAACTATAGAGACTATAACTAGAATTATATTTGAGATAAGCTTCACATGAATATTTACGAATATATATTTTTGTAAACGATAACTTTTACATATTCGATAGAATTAATTTTGGAATCATCTTTACAAACTTCATGTTTAGAACTTTTATCATCTTTTGTGATCAATTATACACATTCTTGCTTTGTATTATAAAACATTTATGACATAGTTGTACAGTAAACTGTAAAAATCATGTATAGTAATTTTAAGATCAAAAAGTATGCGTGATAGCAAACAGTATGAATTATGTAAACAATTAACCAAAGTACAACGAAATATATAGAAAGGAATAAATTATAAAACATGATTGTTATTTTTTAACAATCTTTAAATTTCTAAGTAACACTGCTGCTTTATCTTTTTTCTGTGTACTAATTCTATTATATTGTCACATTTTTATAAACGATAAACTTTCTGTAATTTAATTTAAGAAAATAATTTTATTACATTTAACAGGAAATTTTAATTACATTTATTATTTTATCACATAAAAACAATAATACTATTATTTTTTAATTAATTTTGCATTTTAAACTTAAGATTTAATTATAAAATAATTATAAAGTTAATTATAAAATAATAATATTATTGATTTTATAAAATAATATATATAATTAAAATTTGCTGTTAAAATAAAATTATTTTCTTAATAATTAAATTACAGAAAATTTATCAACTTTTTTAAGAAATGACAAATTTGTAATGCACCACAAGTGAGTGAATATGCTTTTCTTAGTAATATTCACTTTCAGTTTTGCGATAGAATATTATTGCAAAAGGCATTGTATTACTAATGTTATAATTTTAAAAACTAATTTTAAATATTTTAAAATTATTAATTATAATTAGTTAACAACGTACTTCTCAATATTCAAGTAACAAAAATTAACATAAAAAGAAAAAAACATATAAGGAATCAGCGCTGAAAACAGTGCGCAAAAATTTTCTAATAACTAAAATTCTACTAATAACTAATATTCTGATCTTATTGAACATTTAAATCAAATGAATAAATATGTAAGAACATATGTTTCAGCTCAAGATTGAGTCATCCTCAGCGCATAAAGTACAAACTAAAATAAGACCACATGTAAAAAATATTAACAGATCAATTATATTATTTAATCTTCTAAGATTCAGTTCCACAATTCGAAACACAAACGATTCCACAAACGATTAACTCTTGAATTTCGGTTAAGAATTAACCGTGAGTTGTGGAACTGAACTTAAAATCTTCCTGCTGCAATGACGCAAATACTGGAATGTTAAAATAATATTCTTGCATTTACACTCAAATAGTTTCTCAACCATATGAACATATATGTTTTAACATTCCAGTCATTGCTTTTTAGAAGATTAAATAATGCGGCGATAACACAATTGGTCTATTAATATTTTTACATGCATTCTAATTCGATCTTACATTAGTTTATACTTTATGCACTGAGGAGAGCTCAAGTTTGAGCTGAAACGTATGTTCTTATGTGTTCATTCATTTGATTTAAATGTTCAATAAAATCAGAATATTGTAGAATTTTTAGTTATTAGAAAATTTTTGTGCATTTTCTTCCGCGCTGACTCCTTTATGTCATTTTTTATTAATTATAAAATAATAACATTGTTAATTTTATGTGACGAAATAACAAATAAAATTAAGTAATAAAAAAATTAAGTAATTAAGTAATAAATTTACTATCAAATTTAATAAAATTAAAAAATAAAGTGTAAAGATATAAATTCTTCAAATAAAAATAATTCAATCATTCTATTAAATACAAATATTCCATAATAAAAATAAATTATCACATTAATGAAAATCAATATTGAATGGAAATTATATAGAATATAGAACAATATGTATTAATCAAGACATTAAATACAGACATCCAGTCCTTTATTAAAGTTATCTTCAGTGTAAATTGTCAAATTAATGTGTATATATTGGATACAGCGCAAACATTAATATGACGTCATAAATATAAAGTCCAGAAGTAAAAGTTATCAACGAACATCTTTAGTATTTGGCAGACTACTTAATCGTAAGTTGAAAGGAAACTGAAATGTTAAATGATTATTGTATCATTTTAATACATTTTAATACATTTTAATACATTTTAATACATTTTAATACAGTAATAAAAACTTACATAATAAGATGACGATAACATAGTTGAGTTAAACGAACAGCATAAAACGAATACAATACGAATTGTTTTGAATTTATGAGAGTCCGACAATAAAAGTGTTTTTATATATGCTTAGTTAATAATAAAATGTAGAAGCATTAAGATTTTGTGAAGAAGATTACCTAGCTAATAAAATTATCTTATTAAATAGAATTACAAGAAATTTATCTGCTAAAAAAAGTTTTTTAAACTGAACTTTAATTATAAGGTGAGTTATTAATTATGATTGGTTTGTTTAACTCTTGTGTGTAATGACTTTTATATATTTTAAAAAATGATAATGTTACTTAAAATAGTTATTCATGTTATTCCAGTTATTATTTAAACAGCTATTAAGCTAAATTTAGTAACTAACAAAATTTTACTAAAAAGAAAAGAAGAGAAAAAGAAACAAGAAATACGTTACGTGGATTAATTGAGATGTGTGAAGTAAGTGAGAAGAGAAACAAAAGAAACAAGGAAATGATATGTATATGATTATACAATGTATGAGACAGTTATCGCTAATGTTTCTCGTTTATCATTATCAGTAATACCTAAAGCCGATATGAAAAGCAGCAACAGTTACTGATGGTCCCAGTAAAGGATTAACTATCGAAAAGTGTGTCTTGAGAAACGGCAGGGAAGAGAAGGAGAACTAATAGAAAAGAGAGAGGGAAAAGAAAAAAAGAAGGAAATAAGAATGCTGATTGTTTTCATTTTTTCCTATTAGTTTGAAATGTCGTCAGATTTTGTGAAACAGTGCAACAACATGGATAAGAACACGAGCGACATGAAATCAAATCCCAAAGAGAGCGCAAATGTCTTCAGTGTTCTATTCTTCTGGTTCGTCAAGACTCTCACTAATTTGGCAAAAAAAAATAAAATAATAAAATATCTTTGCTTCTTGCAGAAAATTTTAATTTTTGCAAAAAACAATTCAAAAAAGACCGAAAACTTTCACTTTCTGGGAAAAAGTTTTCTTTAAAGAAACAAAAATTTTCTTTTTATAAACGAAATTATATTTTTCGAGAAAGATAATCTTCATTTTTTTTTAAGATAAAATTTTTTTTTCAAAGTGCAGAATATTTTTGCTTGTATTACTCTTAAATCTTCTTATTAATTACTCTTCTTATCTTATAATATTTACATCTTACATTTTATTTTACTTTGAGGAAATAAAAAAAGCATTCTGCAAATTTTAATCGTTATTCAACATATCGTACAATTTAGTCATACTCTTATTTTTCTATTTTTCACTGTTAAATTTAGAATGTTAAATTAAACCCAGTTTATTTTTTTTATATTTAATTATTTAAATACCTGTTCCTACTACGTAATTAATTTAGCTGTGACAAAGTAGTTAAACAATTTAACTTATGTAAAAACTTATGTAAACTGTATTAAATTTAGTTTATTAAATCTAAATGTGTACGATAATATAGACTATTTGCTATAAAACTAAGTAATTTGACCATACAGAAATAGATTTATATTTTGATATATGTGGAAGATAAAAATAAAAATGTTGAACTCAAGCATTTGCTTGATTAGTTTGCTTCTTTAATATTTAATAGTGTGTGTGTATATATATATATATATGTGTGTATATATCGGCTATTATTTATCATAATATATTTGAATACATATCTAAAGCCTTTGATCTTGGTATTATATATCTGGAAACACGGTAGTGTTTCGGTGCTAAGCCAAAAAATTGTAACTGTAATATAATAAAGTACTGTAATACAATAAAGTATATATATATATATTGAAAGCATATAGATTGTTTGATAGGAAAAAAAATAAAATAATAAAATATCTTTGCTTCTTGCAGAAAATTTTAATTTTTGCAAAAAACAATTCAAAAAAGACCGAAAACTTTCACTTTCTGGGAAAAAGTTTTCTTTAAAGAAACAAAAATTTTCTTTTTGTAAACGAAATTATATTTTTCGAGAAAGATAATCTTCATTTTTTTTTAAGATAAAATTTTTTTTTCAAAATGCAGAATATTTTTGCTTGTATTACTCTTAAATCTTCTTATTAATTACTCTTCTTATCTTATAATATTTATATCTTACATTTTATTTTACTTTGAGGAAATAAAAAAAGCATTCTGCAAATTTTAATCGTTATTCAACATATCGACGTACACTTTAGTCATACTTTTATTTTTCTACTTTTCACTGTTAAATTTAGAATGTTAAATTAAACAGTTTATTTTTTTTATATTTAATTATTTAAATACCTGTTCCTACTACGTAATTAATTTAGGTGGATGCGAGAATTATTTATGACAGGCTCCAAGCGTGATTTAGAGGAATCTGACATTTATCGACCAATCAAAGAAGATGAATCCCAAAAAATAACTGATCATCTTGAAAAGTGAGTATTGCCTGCGATGAATATACATTAGTAAACGCACATTATGATGCCTGTAAAAATTATAGTTTCCACTTTTGTATATGAAATAATAATTAATGAATTTTAATAATTTTATATATAATTTAATAATTTTATATGGCGCACAAAAATGTTGTATCATTTAATTACCTTACTAAAATTATATAGTTGTGATATATCAGATTTTTTTTTTATCTGAGCGAAAAATTTATCTGTACTTCACAGAGATTAAATGGTATGACATTTCATACAAATTTATATTGGGTGCTTTTCAGCAAGAAACACAGATGACTCAGTATAATATAGTTAATCATTGCATCCTTATTGTTTGCCAATATTAAACAAAGATAAAACACTTCACTGTGTTACACTATTTCATCTGTATTTTTCTGGAAAATTTCCATTATACTTAATATAATTTTGAAAGTTATTTTATTGTGCGGCGTCCATTATTTTACATTAAATATCTACTCTTTAAAGTAAGAATGCAGTTAAATACAGAAAAAGTAAAATTAATTTATTAAATCATTTAGTAAATCAGTTCTGTCGTCTTTATAGAATTCTAGCGCATTTTTTCTAGGTATTGGAATCGCGAGCTGGATAAACTGAAGAATTTGGAATATACCTTAGGCAAAGACGGGCAGAAAGTGCCACTAAAAAAGAATGTTCGTCCAAGATTGTACAAAGCGATCTTCAAAGTTTTTTGGTTGCCTTATATGATAATCGGGATCTGCGTATTTATTCAAGTACATTGATACATTTATGAAGAGATATATTAATGTTTACTTACAATTAGTTCAAGTGTGTTTATAACAAAAGAAAAATATTAAAGGACATTCTCGTGAAAAGAGAGAGAGAGAGAGAAAGATAATTGACGATTTGTTGCGTTAGATGACAATTTTCTGTTTACAAATTAGTTAACAATGAGGAAAAAATTGATCTAAGTAAATCTAAGATCTCTTTTTCTCTTTTTCCTTATTGTCCAGATCCAATAGTTTTACAAGTTTGGGATTAATGGCGTTTTCCATTGAGAAAACTAGTGCAACACTGAATGCAAGTAAATGCAAATCAACATATTTTTAGTGTTAATAAATAATTTAATCCTTTCAATTAATAGTAATTTCATCACGATAACCTCATAACGTTGAAAGGATTAAATTATTTATTAATACTGAAAATAAGTAAACCAATTTGCAATCAATTGCACAGTGTTATACTAGTGGAAAATGTTACAAATTTTAACTTTTATATTTTTAGTGCAGTGTAGTACGCGTAGCAATACCGATCATTCAAAGTTGGATTGTTAACTACTTCTCCAGAAATTCCAACTTGAAGTACAAGATAGAGAAAAACGAGGTGCTGATCTATGTCGTTTTTATGGTCATCTGCAGTTTCATCTCCGTTCTTATGATGCATCATACGATACTGCAATCGCTACACATCGGCATGAGAATCCGCATCTGCTGTAGCTCTCTCCTCTATCGGAAGGTAATGTTGCGGATTAATTTGAAAGTTTATGCATTAATCAAAGTTCTTTCTAGGAAGAGAAGCGAGCTGCTTTTTCTATACTCGAAAAGACTGTACTGTGTTTGATTTAATTAATTAATTAATTAATTAATTAAATAATAATTGTGCAATGCTTTTACTGAATTGGATTAACTCACAAGATTTGTCATTGTTGAAAACTTTGAGTTATCTAAAGAGGAAACTGATTACAATGTCAAAAAATTAATTTAAATCAGTTTCTTTTGGTGTTTAAAGAAGTAGCTGGTCGTATTGAGCTCATTATCTCGCATATTTATTGTCTTTCGTTGTCAGTCATTTGCGTACACTTGTTATCTACCATTCTCAAGTTTCTTGTGAAAAAATGTGAAATTTAACACGTTTAAAATCACAGGTCACTATGAATGCGTTTTCTTCTATGTATTTCTATAAATCACTCAGAGCATTTAGAGCTAAATTTATGACATACATTTTAGATATTTAATCATTATACATGAACGATCTATTAATTGATTACGTGCAATAATAATGTTGTTTTTCTATGAATGTATAATGACATAAGTTCAACTGACGAAAACATTCGTCAGTTATTTATTAATGTAATAGTTTCCTATTTTTGATCTTTGAAGGCATGGTTTAATCTAAAATTTAAATTTTAATTTTCGTATTGACTTTGAAAAAATCTTTTTTATAATACATATATATTTTTTTTATAGATAAAAAAAATGACAAATGAATATGTGTAATTTATCGTACAAGCCAGATATCTTCTTCATTATGCATGTCCTTCGACTCCAACCGATAATACGTTTGCTGGTACCCCGCGAATATGCATCGCAGAATGACACATGTCTTCCTGTACTTATCTCTGTCGAAATATAGTAGACTATTACTACGTAAATAGAGAGTAAAACCTAGTCAAATGGAAAATAACAGTTTTCATTTGTTGCAATAACATGTAGAACATTGTTTCGTAACTTAAAATATTTCTTTCTTATTATGTCTTAAATTAAAAAGTTTTTCAATTTTTCATTTATATTAAATAAATTTTTGTTTTAATGCACTTTTTTAAATTGCGTCCTTGTATTATTTTACGATTTTATATAAAATAAATTAAAGGTTTTTAAAATGGAATTCTTTCAGGAAGAATTTATTTAAAAAAAAGAGAATACAATTTTTTTTAATATATCATAAACACAGTTTTTTTTAATTACATAAAAGTAAGCCTTGTAATTATTTATTAAAACTGTCGCAGTTATTACGGTTGAATAGAGCATCTATGAATCAAACCGGTACCGGACAGATCATGAATCTTCTCAGCAATGACGTCAATCGCTTCGATCAACTAACGACGTTCCTGAATTACATATGGATTATGCCTTTTCAGGTCGGAAATAAATATCTCTTATTTTTTCAATTAGAATCGCTTAAGTTGATGACAGATCATTAATTTTGTTTGAACAGTTGCATCTATTGACAAATTTTATTAGTAGAATGATCGCTTTCGATCTTTCGATTTAGAATCTGTTATATCAGATGTAGCAACAAAATGCCACAAAATATATAACAGAATTTGTCTATGTATATGATATTTAAGGGAATCCTAAATAGAAGATTTCGACATAGTCGAAGTCACTGTTTTATGTACACACATATGATTCACGACACATCTAGTTTACAAAACATCGATCACTAAGTACTACACATTAATATGTGTGCACACATATTAATACATATAAATTTTCCTACATTATTTTCTATTATACTAAACTCTTAGGCTATTTATTATACTAAACTCTCATTTCTAAAAGCACAATATTATTCCTTCATATAATCTCTAGTCTTCTATTAAAGTTTAATTGTTTTATATGTAGAAGTATAAAATTTTTATATTATGTATTACAAATCAAGAGAAATCGATAACAAAACCGCAGTAAATTTCTAATTTTTTTTAGTTTTTCATTACTAAATTCGTTATTAAATTACAATCTGAAATTATTGTCTTATATATCTGTACTTTAATTTTTCTTCTAGAGAAGAATTTTTAAATCTATTAAATACATACAAAAAAATTAGTACAAAAATTATCGCGTTCAATCAAGAAAACAGACGATTGTAGGATCTCTTTAACAGAAAATTGAATTGATTCGTTCGGTAAAAACCGAACGAATTTGCAGTATTTATACATAATTTGGTCCAGATTAGTAGTACAAATCCAGTAAAATCGGTTTAAACTCAAATTCTGCTCGATTTCTGTCAAATTATAGTCAAATCATGTCATGGTCTGACAATAAAGTTTTCAAACTGCAGAAATAAAAAATATCTTAAATAATAAAATGTTATATTTTATCTTTCAAAGTAATTTTCAATAACATTTTACAGACATTTTTTAAAAAAGACGTCTAAAAAAACATAAAACGTGTTTTATGTCTCAATTTTAAACTTGTTATTTGAGTTACTAATCGGCTCTAGCTTTTTTACATTTCATGTTGTTCTCAAAATTCAAAAAAAATTAATGAGGAAAGATAAATATTTTTAAGACATTCAAGAACATTCAGAGAAATGTGACAAGTGATCTGAATAATACTTCAAGGACAAACTTTAAACAAAGTTTTAAGGCTTTGTATTAAAACGTATAAAGTATATACTAATGGAGGCATTAATACCTTTGGAAAATTAATGTAACATTTTGTTATCTGAGATAACGTCTGTGTTTTCTTATTGCCAGTTGAAACAGTTTGAAAATTTCACACAAATCATGTGTTTTGACGAGCTTTGCTAGCAGATCACGAGCTTAGCGAGAACGCAGATAGTACCAAATCTGTTTTACTTGTTAATCTCTTTTATAGATTGTTAATAAGTATATGTATCTAGTTAGTTTAACTTACAGAAAATCCATCTGTACACATCCAAATGTATACATCTGTGTACACTTTACAACTCCGAGTTAGTTTGTGTTAGAAAGACGTAAGATCTTTTATTTTTTCCTTATTTGAATGTTTCAAGAACTATTTGTTGGCTGCGTTTTTTTAATAGATCATAATCATGGGAACAATAATGTGGCAAAAAATCGGTATTTCGGTTCTTGTCGGTATTGGATCGCTATTGATTATCGCATTAGTAGTACAAGGAACCTTCAGTTTGCTGAGCCGTAGAATCAGAGCCATGATTGCGCCACTGACTGACCGAAGAATACAGTTAATGAGCGAACTTGTAGCTGGGATACAGGTATATATTCACAGGATATGTAATTAGTTAATTCATTTTTAATATATAATATTAAACTATCAAGAATCTAAAAGAATACTTTATAGTTGCAGACAATAATCTTTCAATAGTTGTAACTGTTTTTTTTATTGAAGGCAATCTCTATTTTAAGATCAAATAATTATTTACAAGAATAATAATTGTTTAATTAATCGAATTGATTGATAAGTCAAGATGTTTTATTACAATATTATGATAAATTACATTGTGTTAAAAGGTGTCTGTTTCTCAACTAAATGATGATACGCAGAAAATAAAATCTTTATTTAAAAAAATCCTACAAATTTAAACAATTTCCAACTTTTTTGTTTTATATGCATAAAATACATATGAATATTACTGTGTTGAGAAACGGAAACCTCGCCTATCAGTGTAAGTAAATTTTTGGTATTCTCAATAAATTAATAAATAAATTTTATTATTTTCATATATTTTTCAAAATTACATAAACAATAAAAGAGAGTTTATACTATCAGATTTATTTTTGTGTATTATTAATTAATTAATTTATTTTTTCATTAAAAAATATTAAATTTCTTATATCTACGTAATGTATCTTACAAATTTACTTTATTACATAAGAAACTCAAAACGAAATTTTTAACAATTAAAAGTTTCTTTCAATATAAAAAACCTGCAAGAAATTAAAATTGTTGAGAAATAAATAAAAAAGATTGAAACTTTTTCTACTACGTTATTAGTAAGCATTTAACCAAATAATTGTTTAAATAATCGGTTATTTTAAAACAGTAATAATTTAGTTACAACCATTTAGTAAAAGTAATCATTTAGTAAAAATAATTGTTCAGTTCATTACTATAAACTGTATTAATTGTTCCCGCACTTGACTACATTAGCTCTATTTTTTCCATACATTTTATTTTTAAACGATCTGCATGAGTAACTAACGTTTAAATATCAATTAAATTTTACAGTAAAATTTTGTGAAACAAACTTACGAGATCATAACTTTTATTTCAGGTAGTGAAGATGTACGCCTGGGAGAAACCGTTCAGCAAGATTGTTTCAATGACCAGAGAGCTAGAAATTAATAAGATCAAATTCTCGTCGTACGTGCGCGCAGCATATTTGGCCATCATAGTCTTCACCGAACGATTAACTCTCTATTTTGCCCTGATAACGTTTGTCCTAATGGGAAATGATCTGACTGCCGATGTGACCTACGAAATGTCGACATATTTCAACATGCTTCAACTCACCACTGCATTGTACTTTCCACAAGCGCTGATAATGCTGGGCGAATCGATGGTGTCTCTGAATCGATTGGAGGTATACAATTGTTTTCAAATTTTTAATAAACTTTTAAATCCACAATTTTTCCGATGTCTATTGTCACATACTAAAGCTTAATTTTTACAGGACTTTCTGCTGATGGACGAAGTGAACATTGATCGCTCGGAAAAAACATCGCAGTTTAAATCTCAGAAATCAAACGAATCGACTAATGAGACAGAGAATGAAATAGATAGATACATCTCGAGAAATGGAAGTATCAGTCTTTCCGAATTTCAAAGATTACCTGACGTTCCGGTCTACGTGAAGCTTCAGCGTGTTTCTGCCAATTGGATCAGTGGTCAATTGCCGCCGACTTTATGCAACATCAGCTTAACCATTAAGCCAGGTCAGTTATGTGCTATGGTTGGCGCCGTAGGTTCCGGAAAATCGTCACTGTTACATCTGTTACTGAAGGAATTGAATCCCGGAGCGGGTTCAGTGATTCTCACCCAGGATTCTTCGAAGAATTTTGAGAGCAATTTGTCCAATGGTTATTTCACGAACAATCCAAATCTGCGCATCTCCTATGCTAGTCAAGAACCCTGGCTTTTTGGGGGTACAGTGAGAGACAATATACTCTTTGGCCAGCCCTATGACAAGGCCAGATACATGCAGGTAGTCGTCATCCAAAGTAATTGTTGCGGATTACCTTACAGTGTTTATGTATTCCTGCTATTGTACAATATCAATATAATTTTTAGGTGTAACTTATAACAATTCTCTAACTCTTCAGTCTTCCGAATCTATCTTCCAAATTAAACATGAATTACATTTTTAATTGTAACCGGAATAAAAGAAAATATCTCTTAGCAAATGTTATACATTTTGTTAAATCTTTAATCTTTTTATGATTACATTTAGATAAAAGAAAAGTAATAATATTTCTAATATTTTTTAAATTTATTAGCTTTTGCTAACGTTTTAATCGATTAAAAAATGTTTTAGGTGACGAATGTGTGCGCTTTGACGAAGGATTTCCAACAGTTTCCACAGGGAGACATGACATTGGTCGGCGATAGAGGTGTATCCTTGTCTGGAGGCCAAAGAGCACGAATCAATCTCGCAAGGGCGGTTTACAGACAGGCGGATCTCTATTTGTTCGACGATCCTTTGAGCGCGGTGGATACTCGCGTTGCTAAGCATCTCTACGGAAAGTGCATCACTGAGTATCTTCATGGTAAAACGAGAATACTCGTCACTCATCAATTGCAATTTCTCAAACGGGCAGATCACATCGTCATGTTGGATCGAGTGAGTCACATAAAATATTCCTTAATCATCTTTAATTTGAAAATTTTTAAGTAAAGAGAAAGGGAGTCAAAACGATGTGTTCATGTAAAATTCAAAATTATATATTATATATTAACATAATTAAACTTAACATAATTAAAATTAACAAATCTTTCGATCTCAACATTAAGATATCCTCAATGTAATCGCAAAAACTCATTTTTTACTTGTTTAACAATGGTTCAAATACACTGCTGATAAAATGCTGTCGTTTGAAGCTTGAAAATAAGCGACAAAATTTTAACAACAGCGTATTTAAACTACTTGTTAAACAATATTATTATATCGTTGGTAAAACGCTTTCATTTATCTTCAAATAATAACGTTTTACCAGCAGTGTATTTGAACTATATTTGTTAAACAAGTTAATGTGAATTCTTATAAATATACTGAAGATGGCCCAATTTTGGAATTGAGACATTTGTCAAGTCTATAAATTAATTTAATTATATTAATATAATTTTAAATTTTACAAATCCCTCGTTTTGGAGTTTTGGAGTATCTTTTTTTATTTTATTTAAATTTTAATTTATTGAGACTTATTAATTCACGATTTTGGAAATTTTTAAAATAATTTTTTGTTAATTTACTAGAATTTTTATATTTTATATAACAAATTTGAGAATTTTTCAGAATTTATGATAATTTCATAATTTTTTGTAATTTACTAGAATTTCTAATTTCATAACTTTTTAGAACTCAAATAGCATATTCAAAATGAGAACAAAAGAAGTTTCAAAGGCATTTTAAAAATATCCAAGTTAAGACATTGTATGATATGATGTCTGAAAAGTACTTTAATAATGTCTTTAAGACATCTTATTTCAATTTTGGACATGATGTTATCTAGAAAGAGTACAAATATATTTTGAGCATAATGACAATTGTCTTACAATTATTGTATAATAATCTTTTAACCGAACAATTATAAAGTTAAATATTAATGTTACAGTTCTTTTAATAAAAAATTATAAAAACTTTTTTAGTTCATACATAAAATTTTTAATTCAGAAGTTCAAAGAATTTACAGTTAATTATATTGAATTAAAAGATCTTTGGGAATTAAATATCCTGATTTTTTTTACTTAAGGGTTTCGTGAAGATGCAAGGAAGCTATAATGAAATAGTAAAATCAAATAAAAACTTCATTGGAATGATGGACAATTTCAATCATGAAGCGCAAAGAAAAGAAAATGAAATGAGAAGAGCTTCGGAAATGTCCAGGAGAATCACAATAACGAGACGAGCCTCGAAACTGTCGATTGCAAGTTCCATTATTGTAAGCTAATGGCTCATTTATAATAAAAAATTGTAAAAGAATAATTATTTAAATGTTATTTTTATCTAATAAAAATATAGACTCGCAATAAAATAAATGAAAAAGATCTGATTAGATATATGTCCGTATTAAAAATGTTTTAATTAATAATTAATAAAACTAACTAAAAAAGGATATCAAATATGAAATAAGTAGTGTTGTGAGAGAAGTTAAGTGGCTTTTAAATAACTTACTTTTTTAAATATTATTTTTTTAATTTCTTAACTAGACTAATCTTATTAAATTATTATTGCGTCTATTATGAACATTTAAATAATTAGATTGTTATTGTACCATCGTGTAGCACTCGGAGATTGATGACTCGGATTATGTGGAAAACAACCCGGAAGCCGAGATGATGGCACATGGTCGAATATCGGGCAAAGTATACAAGGAATATCTGCATCAAGGCGGCAACTATTTCATGCTATTTATACTACTGCTGCTCTTCATCATCGGTCAGATCGCCACTACCGGGAATGATTATTGGCTTTCATACTGGACCACCTTGGAGGATGTCAGACGTATTGGAAACACTAACGACACACAATTCGCGAATATGTATAACAATAGCTTTCTTGGGTCGATCTTCACGCTAAACCCGGATGGTCTCCTCGGCACTATGGATGCCATATACGTATACACATTCTGCATCATCGCCTGCACCGTTACCACGCTATTGCGCAGCTTTCTTTTCATGAAGATCTGCATGAACTCGAGTTGCAACCTCCACAATACTATGTTTTCCAATCTGCTACGAGCGCGCATGTCCTTCTTTCATACTAATCCTTCGGGTGAGCAAAAATTGTGAGTTCTAATAGGTAACGATAATTGTTGTGCTACTCTCTGAGAAAATTTGAAAAAATTCTTTGGTAACAATTTTTTTTAAAAACTCTTATATAATTTGTCTGATTTTTTTTAGAATTTCTGTATAATTTTAGAAAATCTTTTAAATTTTTTTTTTATATGAATTGAACACTTTTTAGAAGTGCTGAAAACACAGTCTATATCTTTTGAAGAATTCTTTACATACGTCAATTCTAACAAGGAAATATTCTAACAAGAAAAAAATTGTTTTCTCTTATAAATTTAAGATATAAAAAATTCTTAAAAATATTATAAAAATTCTTTTAAGAGTTTACAAAATTTTGAATCCAGATACACATTTATTTTTATTGAGTTCAATATTATTAAATTGTAAAAATTTATTATTGTTATCCATGAAGAAATAAAGCGTGACGATTGACATTTATGATCGCTCTCCGTATTCATAATATCAGAAATATGAATCATTGAAATTATATTGATTCCTGGACTTTAATTTTTTTCTTGTTGAAAGATTAACGATTTTTATGTTCCAGGGAGAATTTTAAACAGATTTTCGAAGGATATAGGTATTATGGATGAGTTGCTACCTAAAGTGATATTGGAGGCTCTCCAGGGATGTTGCGTAGTGTGTGGTATAATGATCATGGAAGCGATACTCGTTCAATGGATGCTGATATTTATAACGATAGTGATAGTCTTATTCTTTTTCATGACGAAATTCTGTTTGAAGATCATTCAGGATGTCAAACGTCTCGAAGGCGTAAGTAAGTATTAGAACGAATAACTTCTCATCAGAAAAAAAGAGCAGTATATATTAAATCCTTGACGTCTAGATTTCTGGATCATTTAAACATTAAATTCAGATTTTTAAATTCTTATTTTTTTCGAAATTTAAATTCTGTGAATTCTAAAGATTTTCGAACTTGTATTTGCGTTTCCAGCGAAGAGTCCGATGTTCTCGCATGTGAACGCCACATTGAATGGATTGCCGACTATCAGAAGCAGCGGCGTCGGAATCGAGAAGATGATGCGAAAACAGTTCGATGTGTTACAAGACCGTCACAGTGGCACATGGTTTCTCTTCTTAACATGCTCAACGGCCTTTGGTGTTTTTACGGATTTAATTATATGTCTGTTTTTAGCTTGTCTTTGCTTTTCTCTAATATTGGTAAATGAAAATGGTAAGTTATATTAAATTAACAGATTAATTATGAAAAATGTAGAAAAATTCTAGAAAAAAATTGGTACTGACTAGAAATTAGATAGATTTTTCGGCTAAAATTAATTAGACAGAACTTGTTCAAAAATCGTCTAGAAAATAGGCGTTTGATAGACAATCACTGGCTATAAATTATGTATAAAATGTTTAATATTTATTGTATATCGAACTTTTTCAATATATTATATTTCTTTAATATATTGAGATTTTTAATTATTTTTCATAATTTTCTAAATTTTGTAAACATGCAAGAAACTATAACAAATTAATAGAATTAAACAAGAATCAACTTTTAATATTTAAGTTTCAGTATGTTTGTCCTTATTTCTAGTGTGATTAATATTTAAAAAAATATATTTGGATAATCTCTTCGAGCTATTTCAAGTCTTTTTCATTCTACAGGTACTATAGCTGACAGCCAAGCAGGTCTGGCAATATCACAATCGTTGATTCTGATCGGTTGCTTGCAATATAGCATAAAACAAACCACTGAGACAATGTCACTGATGACTTCCGTGGAAAGGATTTTCCAATATACAAATCTTCCCAAGGAAGAACCTATTACCTCAGATAATCCACCACCACCTACATGGCCATCCCAAGGACAATTGATCTTGAAGGATGTCAACATGAAATATCATATGGATGATCCACCAGTTTTGAAGGTATAAAATAAACCAATTGTTCATTCTTACAAACATTATTTGTGTTCCATATAATCGGGCTTTATAGAATCTGAATGTATCCATCGAGCCTGGCTGGAAAGTTGGGGTGGTTGGACGAACTGGCGCCGGCAAGTCTTCCTTGATCTCGGCGCTTTTCCGCTTATTCAATGAAGGTCTTGAAGGTGAGATCAAGATCGATGGTCGGGACACAAGAACGGTGGGCTTGAGTGAACTGCGCTGCAAGATCTCCATTATACCACAGGAACCTGTGCTCTTTTCCGAGAGTCTACGTTACAATCTGGATCCATTTAATCGATACGATGACATGAAGCTGTGGGAAGTCTTGCGGCAAGTCGAGCTGAATGATGTCGCGCTGGACCACGATATCTTTTATGGAGGTCACAACTTCAGCGTCGGCCAGAGACAACTTATATGCTTGGCTAGGGCTATTCTAAGGAACAATCGTTTGCTCGTTCTTGATGAAGCCACAGCCAACATTGATTCGCAGTGAGTCTCGATGATTTTTTAGTAGTAAGGTTTGAATATCATTTCGTGAAGGCAAGCGGTTTTGATTAATTGATCATTAATGAATAATCGTAATAAATTAATAATTGAATATTTGAATTATTGTATCAATAATTCAAATTTCAATTATTAATTATTATAATAATTGTATTATTAATTTTGTGAATAATTAAGTATTTCTATGATATGTTAGGATACAATAAAAATTTTTTTTGTAATAAATCTAAGATTTCAGGAAAAACATTTAAAAACAATAGACTTTTCAAATTAGATGAGATCAGATTTCTAGCAAACATTTGTGTTTGATATTTATAAGATGCTGTCATAAATGCACGATTTTTTATTTAACATAATTTTGAATTTTTTATTTAACATAATTTGCTCTAAATTGGTATCTCTATTTCTAGTACCGATGCCTTAATTCAAGATACCATAAGAAGCAATTTTAAAGAATGCACCGTCATTACGATAGCACATCGTTTGAATACGATTATAGACAGTGATCGGATTATCGTAATGGAAAATGGATCTATCGTGGTAGGTTTTTTACCGTTTTTTATAAAATATAAATATATTAATGATTTTGACAGCGAAGAGATATAATTTTTTATGTAACTGTCTAAAATATTTATTCATAATAATTCCGAGTAATAGTATAATATAAATTTGACTTTTAAAAAAGAAATACGAATGTATATATATTTGAATAAAGAGAAAGAAGAATATAGCCATCGTAAATCAGACATTAAATGTTCAAATTTTTATAATCAATTCTAAAGAATCTTATGTAATATGAAATACATGTAAAAAATTTGACGTTTTCAAAACCACAATTCTTTTTTAGAATTTACGAGACATGATTTTTTTTCTCTAAAACTTTTATAGTGACTCTTACTCTGAAGAATGAAATCTTAATTTTAAAAATTGAAAATTAAACTTTTTTTAAGACTTAATTTTCTTTATATGTATGTATAAAAATTTAGTTATTTGTGTGTGTGTGTGTGTGTATAAATAAATATATATAAATTTAAGAAAATCTTGTAATCAGAAAGAAGTTTCCATTTATATTTGAAAGATAAGATCAGAATTGTTACCAACAGGAATTCGGTTGCCCGTATGAGCTATTACACAACAAACCGAACGGCTACTTTTCACAAATGGTAGAGAAGACGGGCACTCAGATGGCGGAAAGTCTTTTGGAACAGGCAAAGAAGGCTTGCGAGAAGAATAATGATCATCATGAATTAAACTTATTGGCACAAAATTTCGCGAACGAGAGCGATACTACAATCATAGAACAGTCTGCTTTATAGTTTTTCTACCAAGAAAATCTTATATAAAAAGAATAGGATCTAGCAGAAAAATCTGTCGTTTTTATAAGAACTGTATTCGATCGATGATGATAGGGATCACTTTCTCACTGCTGAGGGGATTCAACAGTTTATATATAACTTTCATTTTAAAGTAACTATACATATATGGAGCAATGAAAAAGATATATACAGTTACGGAAACGTGATAATTATTTTTTGTTAAAAATTTTCGTTGTGTATATAGTTAAACGTGATTGAGAATGTATGCTGTTGGATGTGCTTGAGAACGTGATCTTTCATCAATATCAATGAAACTACTATTATCATAAACTATTATCATAAAAGCGTCAAGTTTCTCTATTGATTATTATTATACCTATAATATATGTATATATATCCAATTAGCAAAACATTAGCAGAATGTCGGTAGACTAACAGATTTGATTGCAAATTGACATCAACTGCGGTTGCATTCTGCTCTTGACAGAATCTGTTTAACCAGACAGCAGATTGGTGGACAGAAATCGAGCAGTATTTGCGTAGAGCAATTGACTGACAACAATAGAAATCGAGTAGGAGCTGTAAATCCTACTCTATACCAGTCTACTATCCAGTCAAATCTGTCGAATATCTTATAAAATCTTACTACAAACTTTGAAGACAAAAAAGCGTCAAATTTGATGTAAATTTTGTTGTACTCAAAGCTGTCAGCAAATTGAGATAGCAAACTAATTAAGGAATAAAATCTAATATAGTATAACATGAGAAATTGTCTCATATTCGATTCAAATCAAGCGAGGCTAATCAATCAGTAATCAGCAAATTTAACAGCTTTTGATGACAAAAGTCGAGCAAACCTTGCTAATCTGACTTAACGTAAATTATCGACAAAAGCCGAAGAAAGTTTGCTGATATAAAACCTGATACCAAATTGTCTGCAAAAATGAAGTAAGATCTGTCATTTTCATACGCGGGCCCGCCGAGATGGAGCCTCGTTTCTCGTAAGAAGATAGTATCCAAAAATCCTAGAAGACGTATGCAAATCAAATTGACGAGTCCGCTGGAGATCCCTAAAACTCTTCCGACGTATGCTTTCTGGGCCTCCGAATGTTTTTTGACTATTTTATAACTTTGTCGTGTATATTTTAGAATGTGATGCTAATCAATAATATTTCGGCAGTAAAACTGAATATATTTGTCATCCTTTTGTTGACACATTTAGCTTGACAGATCTAGATTGTATATATTTGGCCCCATTCTGTAAGCATATTTGATAGATCTGGTCTATGTTTGATATAGATCTGTCATTATATTGCTATTACTAAATCTGCTCTTTGATATTAACTTAAATTTAACTTCAAAATATGTTTTTCAGAGATGGTTTACATTGCAAGTTTATTGGTTGATTTCAAACATGTTTCAAACTATATATTTCGGTATTCGTGTATGCCAGTACCCGTGTATTAAAAATTAAAACGCACTGAAACACGGATATATTAACGGATATATTATACGTAACAAGTGTATTTAGATGTATATGTGAAAAAGAGATCACTGATTTGTAGTGCCAAGCGGACACTCTTGATAGGCACGCTGTAGTATTTCTCGAGTTACTCTAATTTTATGCGTTTCTTTTCAATAATAGAGACGAACCAAAGATCAAACCTGGATTTTTCAAGCAAGCAGGTTTCCTTGCGTTAAACCGAGGCTTCGATTGGGTCGGTTATCATTGAAAAACTATTGCAACCAGAACATTTTAGGATTTTTTTTTTACTTTACTTCATCTTTAGAATATGCTATAAAATATATAATTGTATGGTGATTATGAGACTCTATATAGTACAAATACAAACATATTATCATAAACTACACAACTTGCTTCTTTATTTTTTTATATATTTTAGGATTCATACTAAACATGAGTCACATATTATATTTCAAACGTTATACGGAAATATAAAAATATAATTGCAAAATTGCAAAATTTAGATTCCTTAAATTTTTTCTTTTAAATATTTTTTAAAACAAAAAGAAAACTGTGTGGACTTTATATTATTATTTTATATTATTAAGAGATTATATTGTCACTATGAAAGAGAAAAAGAGATTACTTACTTTCTTCATTTAGTTTTTATCAAAGATATTAGATAATCTGAACTTAAACAAATTATTAATACTAAGAGTAAATTGAGGAATAATCTTTTAAATATTATTAGTTCTGCATGTTTCTGGTTTTATCGCATATGTTAATATTCGTATTCGAAAAACGTGAATATAAATCCTAAGGAATGTTTTTTTAATTTTACTTCGCTTTTAAATAATCTTAGTCTTGCTTTGATTCACTCCTCTGTATTGCACTCCTTTCTTAAAATTGTGACTCACGTCTGTATAAAATCAGTAATCATAATAGAATATGGTGTTACACTATTTATTATTTTCTTTTGTCTTTTATTGAAATTATTACTAGCGTATATATGTGGTGTGATTAGGGAGTTTTTACAATAACGTGAATTCAGTGAACGCTAAAATCATGTTATCCTTTTTTTAATTAGTCGTTAAGAAGAAAATAATCTAATTTTCGTATCTAGATAAATGGTATTTCAAAAACTCCCTAATAATTCTGATACAATATATATAATGTAATTCAGACACAAATACGTAACAATTATTTCATTTCTTATGCTAAATATATGCAAAAAAAAAATAAATATGTGTTAGCAAATTGGCAATTGTTGTATAAAAGTTTGACATATCTGAATAATAAACTTTGATATGTATTATTGCAGTATTAAATAAATATAAATTACCTTTTTGATTCCCAACATTTTGCTATTTCATAGGTTCATTTATTACAGAAAAACAAAAAATATGTAGATGTTTCGTTATTTGGCATAGATGTTTTATGATTAAAAATTGTCTATATTGTACGTAATTATGTTCATTGGATTGATGCCTTTCTATCATTAGAAATTGATAATATATACTTTGCTCAAAATCTGTCTCTGTAGACTTGACTATCTGGGTAATTTTGTATAGTGACTCGCGAAACTCATCAAATAATATCATTACGAATTTTCATTTTTAAAAAGGTATTTAAAATCGGGGTAACTCGCTTACTTACATTAAAGTTTATCCCTTATAAAAAAATATTATATTAGACTCGCAAAGAGAGAGAATCTATTAGAAATAATTGAAAAAATATTCAAATATTGTACACTATTTGTTTTAATAATTTTTTTATTAATCCAATAATATTTTTTTGTTGTCATTTTTTCGCGATGTTGATCAATTGGTTCTTTCATTGCGCTTATTTTGCGAACGACTATCATTGCATTCTGTCTCATACAGAAAACATTGTAATGGATATCTAATGCATTTTTACATCTCTCGATATCTATATCTATTATGGCTAACTAATAGACATATCTAATAGATATGTATAAAGTATCTATTCATAGTTAGGCTTTATATTCAAGGCATCCTTAAATTTATCTTCAGATGCTCTACGAATTATTTTATTGGCTGCTAAGCATCTAAAGATAAATTTAAGGACGCCTTAAGTTCAAGGTCTATGAATACAGACAAAAATCTGCCGAATACCTAATCGGCTTAGATATTTTCTGAATGTTATCCAATGTTCAAAATTCAGTGCAAACATCACAAGATATATAAATAGATAGATAAATGTCAAAGACATCTACTATAGATATTCGCATTATTTAAATATTTACATCTAAGTGATCCTATAACTTTACCCGTTAAAGGAATAGTGCAAACATGAACATTTGTATAATCATTCATTAGATATACATGCTTAGTAAATATTATGATATACAACAAATTAACGTATGCAATAAAATAAAATTATGAATTAAATTTTTAAATTAAATTAAATTATTGTCAAAGAATTAATCTGTTTCCCCAAAAAATTTTTAATTGACTATAATATAAGATGTTAATAACTATCAGTTATTAACTTATAGTTAATGTATTTCTCTTATGTGTCGCCAAGTTTGTATTTTTAAATATTGTTTAAAGTAATAATGTTACTATTAAAAAAGTTATCTATCTAATTATAGTTATTAAATGGCTAAGTTTAATAACATACAAATAAAATTTTATTATACAAATAGGAAAAAAGAGAAAGAAGAAATAAACTGAGAAAAAATAGCGTGTAACATGTGCATGAGAAGAAAAACAACAAACACATTACGTAGCTATATTTATACAAACAACGTACGGGACAGTTATCGCTGATGTTTCTCATATATCACCAATAATGTTTAAGGCCAATATAAAAAGCAGCAGTACAGTTACTCATGATTTCAGTAAAGGATTAACTATTGGAAAGCTTGCCTCGAGAAACTACAGGCAAGAGAAGGAGAATAAACGGTAAAAAAAGAGAGAAAGGGGAAAGAAAGAAAGAATGCTGATCGTTTTTTCTGTTAGCTAGAAGTATCAGTTTTTGTGAGATAGTACGACAATATGGATAAAGACACGAGTGACATGAAGCCAAATCCCAAAGAGACCGCAAATGTCTTCAGTATTCTATTCTTCTGGTTCGTCAAGATTCAATATATTCAATAAAAGAAAGAAAATATGCAAGACATTGTTTCTTACAAAAAATTTAATTTTTTAAAAAAGGAGAGATTTCAAAAAATTAGAAATTTTTTTTTTCTTAGAAAGTGAGATGTCTTTCTTTAAGAAGACATTTTTTTGTAAGCAAAATTATATTTCTCCAAAAATGATAAATAAAGAATACTTTTACTTGTAATGCAATAGCTACTTTTAATCTCAATGTATAATACATTTTACGGTTTACTTTAAGAAAATGAAAAAGCATTTTGCAAATTTTCTTGCTATTTAAAAGAATGGCGTGTAACTTACGTCGAGTCATCCTCTTATCTATTCTTTTTTACATATTAATTGTCATTTGCAGTAATTAAAAAAATTAACTCTTGTCTTTGTATGACTGAGCTATATTATTAACAAATATGTACGTGGATGTATATTATCGAATATAAGAGGAAATTTATTAATTTTTTCTTAGACTACAAAAACAATCACTTTTCTAATCATCCATCGTTAAAATAAATTTACAATGGAAAATACATCTATAAGGTGTTCGTAAAGTATCTTAGCCTTTGATTCTCTGAATTATATATA